TTGAGATGGTAAGTCACGTTTAATAGACATTTTCCTCTCTCAGGGAACGACCGCATCGAATGTTGAGAATTATCGAATGTTTCGGCAAACATTGCAATTGCTATTGTCAGGGTGAATATAATGGTTCATCCCCTAGCGGTTCATCCTCGAAAGCAAGTTACACATTGAACTACAGCCACGAAAATCCAAAAGAGAAGAGTCCTCGTTTATAAACTCGCTGCCCGCGAGTCGTTAAGAAAGTCTGAATGTGGCCTTAGGTCTTGCAGAGTTAAGAGCCATGCTCCAATGGAGGAACACTGATTGAGAGTGAGGAGAATGTTTACATCTGGCAAGTCGGTAAAGAACACGTCCTCTTCATCGAAAGTACTACCCGGACCGAGTTTTCACAACCCCACAGTGGGCCACCGCCGAATGCCTTGGTCTCCCCAGTCATTCCCGGAATGTTGATATTAAGCCGTTAGTGCGATTTAAAAGTTTGGTTTTTGTCCTATGAAGAACAATAATCTTGCTGAATCTTTCTAACATTATTTCATTAGTACGCCAGCGGGTTCTCATATGCCGGTCTTGCGTGCAAGGTTTTGCCAGACTGACTCCATTAATGCCCATTATGAGTTTTCTCTTGTCACCAGGGGTGACCGATGTCACACTGTGAAATTATTTATTGCGAGAGTTCTGTCTTGGGAAAAAGAAACAAGTTAAACTTTCTTTAGTTCCCTATAATATTGACCAGGTTTTTGTACATTTTCGCCTTCTGGATGAGGCACGGTGCACATTTCCTTGCGTTTTCATTTGACTCTCGTAATCTCGAGTCGTAGTTTTGTGATGTTAACAACTGCACGGATTCTTGGGCAGCTGATACTCGCCTGCCAACAAAATCCTGTTTAGTTCAATCCCACTCGCACCTTACATCCGCGCTAATCCAACCCAGGACTCCGAAGTGATCTCTTCCTCTGAGGTTATCAATCAAAGTTTTAAGTGCATTCGTTCTTTTCTCCCACGCATTCCACTTGCCAAATCCGATTCATCTTGATTAGTCACAGTTCCAGTTTGTGTGGTGCTGTTATAAAAAGTACAAGGTCGCGTAGCGGTTGGATGCAAATGTAAGCGACTTTCTGTAATTATGACAGATTTACAGTTCTGATGAAGTATAACTGCTATTGTATTTTATTCTATTTCGAAGATGGGTTGCTGAACATGTATGATCCTCCGGTCGTCTTATGAACTGTTTGCCCGTTGTTTGAATTGTTAATGTGACGCTGTCTTCTTTTGTTTATATTCACATTGATATTTTGCTATAATATTCACTTGAACACGTTTTAATTACCCTGACATGCTTCTTAGGAACACCAAATTCAAGCGAAATATTGTAAAGAGCTTCTCTTTTAATTGAGTCAAAGGCTTTCTTGATGTCTATAAATATTTGGTGGACTGCCCCATTGTACTCCCAATTTTTCTCCAGTATCTGGGGAATGTAGAAAATTTTGATCTGCTGTAGATCTGTTACGTCGGAACACACACATCTGATGATTCCCAATAATTTCGCTGACATATGGAGTCAAGTCGATTTCGTCACTATCTTTTTTTGCCTAGTAGTAAAAAATTCGAAGGTCTTGAACGTTGAAGGTTGGATTAACTTCGCTTCATGTTCTCAGTCAATTGCATGTCCCGTATTTCATTGTCATTGTTTTCACCAAGCTTACGCTGTATTGGTGGTTCAGATTCAATTGTACAGCCCTGCAAATGCAGCAGCTGCTTCCTTCGTGTAATTAATGCCGTAGAATCTTCCTATCCAGGGACGTGTAATGGTGGAGGCGCGGGTTAAGTTTCATATAGGCAAGTTTCTTTTATTAGTCACATTTACTATCCACCAACAGAGGGAATCCTCTGTGATCTTAAATATCAATTAACAAAGAACAAAAGGTTAAACTTAATTGTGAGAGATTAATTACAAATAACAGTCTCAAGACAGTCTTAATAGTTGAAGATGGCTGTCTTCTGGGTTGTTGTGCATTGTAGTCTGGCAGCATGCACCGCCGTTGAAAACCTTAAATTCTACACCATCCACGCCACGCGAATATAAGTCTGTGAAGAACTGAGATTAAATTCAAATATAAAGAAAAGGAGGAAGAGATAACTGCGTTTAGAAAGTTCTGGAAATGTTTAAACAGAACAAAACGAATTTTGAAACTGTTCCTTAATCTCCAAGATGCCACTGCGATTAGCGTCGGGTTTCGCATCGTTGAGTTTATGTTATAAACGGGTCTTTCGAAAGATCAGATGCCATAAACTAATGCCGAAACTGTCGTGATCTGTTTGAAGGTATTCTTCACCCACCATTTGCTTCGACAGACTGAGTGAAACTATGAATACTTTGAGAGGGTCTTCGTACCGGGGTTGAAACCTGAGATCGCTATGGTGCATGGCAAGATTCATTGCCACATTTGGTTCACCCTTCTTCGATGTTACCTAACGTCTGCAGATGGCACAGCTCCATTAAATAACCAACGATATCTCGCATACACGTTAATAATTAAGGCCCCCTTTGCTCTGAAAAGTAGTGTTCTGTTCTTTCACGGAACCCACACTGACCGAAGTAGGGCGCGCTAAAGAAACGACTTTGACCCCACCGCATTGACCGTGTACACGTAGCGGCAGTCCGCAACTCAGACCACTCTTGTCTTCTATTGTGGGTCTCAAGCGAGAAGGCGATGTAACGACTGTCACGTAAACCAGTACGCGTGTCAGTCAGTACAGCCACTTCACGTCCACTACACGCTTTCACTCGCAGTTTCAATGACTTCACGATAGCGTATTGGTAAAAGCAAAGCGTTGCGGGTGATTAGTAATTTTATCGTGTGTATGAAAATGGAGAGCCAAAACGCAGGCATCGAATTTTCCACAGGAAAGCCACATTATCAAGGTGTTTATTTCAAGCTAATGGCTAACGTAGCTGTGCACGGTGTTGCCGAGTCGCAGAACCTCTCCGTTAATGTGTATGATGGTATTAAGACTGTGAGTGAAGCTAAAACTGATGATCTGGCAACGTTACAACCTTATAGCTGCCTTTGTGGGCGTGACAAGCTGTCACTTATTCGCCGCCTTGTTTGAATGCTGAAATAGTGATTTATATCCTAATTAAAATTAATATCGCATCCTGTGTCTGTATTTGCAATGCTGCATGCCGCGCATTCCATGGCTCCTGTTTACATTTGTAGGTCACGGGTATATAAAGTTTACAGAGCTTTAAGGCATTGTTAAGAGGCTTCTTTGTTACTCTTTGCAGTTCTACTAGCCTGCATGTTTGTTTTCTTGCCTTAAATATGTCTTGAAGAACAACCTTCAGAAATGGAAACAGTTGTTTATGGGGTCTATGCAGTCCTGCGGTGCCTATATTTTATCATATACACACATACGGATATAAAATAAGTGTTTGTGTTAGAAATTGCGAACATGGCGACGTTGCGAGAGTTTGATTTAATACCTGGCGAATTTAACGTTCTAGAAATCTGTGCTAGTGGAAAGTATGAACCACAACATTTGTACAACCTTTAATTTGTAGCTCCTTGTAGTCCCGCATCTGAAAGGAAGTAGCCTTCATAAATTCTTCACGGAACTTATTTGTTGTTTCAGAATCTGCATTTTTGGGAGCTCGTGCATTGTCGAGTGTGAGCGATCTAGATTCTCGTGTTTCGCGAGCCGTCGAACAAGTGATCCGTCCCGTATAACGGTGCAGCAACATTCCTACGTTTCTTCTACGTAACCTGTCTGCCCCAAGACGCAAGACGACTGGGCCAGTGTTTTCTTGATATATAGGTTGCGAACGAGTCGTAGCACGAGATTGGCACCATAACATGGCATTTTCGTATAAATGGCTCTTTCACCAATTGTCATCCTTCGTTCATTTTGTTGTAGATTCTGTTTTGCTGTCTTTACATCTGTGTCCTGATAACTGGAGCAACAGTGTCTGGGCCAGTTTTGCAAGCAGGTACCTTCGGTGTGGTTTCTAGTACGAACTGTTTTACTCCGTCACTCACAAAAACAATGTTTTTGTTTGCTCCATGTTTTACACCACCTGCCTAGGAAGCTCTGTTTTTCGAAGATCAGTTCACATTGAAGTAGTTAGTAATCCTTCATATATGAGAGGTCCCGCTTTCAAATATCGACAGAATATTCTGTTTTTCACAACCCCTTCTACCACCTGCTGTGCTCGTACTTTCTAGCAGATCAAGGTCGTTTCTATTCAAATTGAAGATGACACAGGCCTATAGTGATCTTGGAATAGAGATGAAATGGTCCAAAAGACGGGGTTATCTGGTGAATGAATTGGTCTGGATCGATGGTCGGCAGTGTGTTCTTCATTTACAGACGCATAATTTTTCATCCCGACCAGCATCTCGAGTCTGCGGTCTTGTCTATCCTGTTTCTTCCCTCATTTTTTCACTCTTACGCATTATATCCGCCTTCTTGTTTTGGGTTAAATCTTGTATGGGGCAGTGTTGAGCGCACACGTGGCCTGATTTATATATTTTTCAGTGAAGTTTACAGTAAAACTGACGTGTTTGGAATGTTTTTCGAGGTAGAAAGTGAAATGTTGGTTCATTCAGTTGAATCATTTATATAATGACCAGTTTAATTGTACCCATTTCATGATTTATAGTGCCCTAAATCTAATTTTGCAGCAAAAATGTTGGTTGTTAAACTCTGAAGTAAATTGCATAAAATATTCTTTCTGCAGGTTGTGGAGAGCAGAAGGATTGTTTAAGATGTGACATGAACAAGGGGTCAGGTAATGATGGTGACTCATGGGCACCACACTGCATCAAGTGTGCCCATCTCATAGTAATGGGATCCCGGCAATGTGTGGACAGATGTCCTGCAGGCTATCGTGAAGACTGGTCTAGTTTTGTGTCATATATGGGCCGAATCTGCTACGGTGAGTACCGTGACTATAATATGGCCTGTTCTGGGTTGAGCAGAGGACATATTCTACTAAGGAAGAGCTGAAGGAAAGCTGAATGCATTGATACAGAAAAGTAACACTTTTGGTGTTCTTACCTCTGGTTGATGTTATTAAATTATAAGAACCACTTATATGTGTATGAGACCAAACAGATACAAACTTATCTAGAATGGTATTAAGTAAGAACCAGCAATTAAAAAAGCATTTTGCAGTCATCTTGTTGATACAAACATTTTGTGTGATGTTTGTGTTTAAGTTTTTCACTTTCAGAATTCATCAGCATTTGTCATTAATGCAGTATATATACATTATGTGAATATACAGTATGCAAATTTACCTTCGTGTGTCATCATTGAGAGTGGACTGGTTTTAAAATTAGGTAATATTGTATCTTGCTTGTTGAAATTAGTTGTATTAAAGGTAAAAAAGAAATACTATTGAATTCAACCTAAATTAATGAAGGCATTTGTTCAGTTAATCAGACACAGCGCAGCAGATACAAACTCACGGATTTACAAATGTAAGAAAAAGATAGTTGAAATTGGTGGCCATCTTTTTCTTGTAATTTTATTTGAGATGGGTGTATTTGGATGCTCCTGAGAAGAACCTTAAAATAATTTCACCTTCAATCTCTTAAAGGATAGTAGTTTTAGGAGTCACCAATTTATAACAGAATTAGGTAAAGTTTAGGTTTGAAAAAAATATAGAGAAAATAAAGTGGTTATCTTTAAAAGTGGCCACAGTGTTTAGTTAATTTATCTGAACTCTTGATAGGGATCTCTAAAATAAGAATTTTAAGTTTCTGTCTAAAAGCATTTACAAGGTAGAACAAGAACAAGTTCATGAGTAGTGGCGATCTAGATCATGACCCTTTCCTCTGACAATCTTCCCAAAACATGATTTATAATTGTTCTGACAGTTGTCATTTAGTGGTAAATAATGTAAACATTTGATAAAGAACTGCTATATTAAATAAACCAAAAATCTTGATGGAACATATTAGCGTATTCACAAATACACATACGTAGTGTGTTAGACAATGATAAATGAGATAGACGTGAAAGCCATAAATATGCACTTTAAGCAAGGTTTCTGTTGCAGTGACCGTAATGTGGTCATCTATACACCCAGTTGAATTAACTTACGATAATGTGTTGTGTTACAAAGCAAATTACTTTTATATATTGCAGAGACTGGTTTTTTTGGACTCTCAGGTCGGTCATTGGCTATCGTTGTGGGTACTATAAGTGGTGCTGCTATCTGCATGGGTGTCCTGCTCGGAAGTTTTCTGTACTTGCGAAATCGGAGACACAGGATTACAAAGACAGCAAGTTTCTCTTCATCCTCTGCCCGTAATGAATCTCCAGATCATGGTGAGTCACAGCTCCCATACATCAGAGACCTTAATTAGTAAGCTGTGAATTTTTCTTTCTTTTGAACACAGAGTACATTATCTTACAGTTTCAGTCAGTTCGATGATTACATTTGGTATGATTCCAATACATTTTGTTTAACTATGAAATGTGTTAGAAATGTGGTAAGTGAGTTTTTATAGTACAGAATGTCCATATGAATGTCTTACATAAATATCATTCCATTCCTGTGCTTCTTGCCTTGAATTTCCAGTAGTACATTTTAGTCCTCTAGTAAATATGCATTTTTATAATCTGTTACTTCAATGTATTATTGATTTATTTTATTCGATATTTTATATTCTCTCACTAGTGGTTGTGAATGAACTTGTTGGGACACTTTTCAGTAAAAGCTCTGATTCTGTGACATTGCATTGTGTCTTGATAGCAATTGAAAAGGAACAAGTAGCAAAGGGTAGAAACCAGACAGTTTAACAATGAGCTGTAACGACGTGTTTCACAAATATGTTTAATACTGGGAGAGATTGGCCGTAATGTGGATAGTTGTTATTCTGATGAGAGAAATAATTTATGTAAATGAAGTTGTGGCATCAAGTGTGAGTTAGGATAGATTTTTAGTTACCACTACACTCTTGTCAGTATATAATTTGTATCATGTTCTTTATTTTTGCATATATAATTATAGATACACTGGAGAGGAAGGAGTTTGTGAAACATTTGTCAACTCTTCGATGTGAAGCTCCTGTTTTCTTAGCAATGCTAAACGACACACGAAGACAAGTACGAGAATTATACCATACTAACGGCCGTGGAGATTCAGCTGTTCAAGCCTACAGGTTTGTGTTTTGAAACTGAATTGTGGAACTTATTTTCACTTTGGAAATTGGAATAATGTTGGAGCATTGCTTATTTATTACTCACTGGTCACAGGTATTTCATATGAATGCCATTTTCTTAATGGCAGTATATGTTTTTGTTTTAAATTGATCGGTTTGTGTTGACACTTGGCAAATATGTGAGGTGAAGGTTAATTAATTATTTAACATTGTCGCAATGCAGTAATGTAATATGAAATAGGATTAGAAAGTTTAGATGAGTTGTGCCGTAGATCTGGAATTGGCAGACAGGTCTGAACCACAAACTCAGCACAAATCTTTACAATTAGAATGAAGGTATAACAGTACGGAATTTTAAATAATTTTAATTTACGACATTGCTGTAATATCTACTTCACATTTATGTTATAGCATGTTCTTACTTTGTTAAAATAAATGTAAATGACTTACGACTGATCTGTTGAGCTCACATTATTCTGTTAGAAATAAACATGATGAAGATTCCCACCTTTTTTCTTGCACTCTTGTCTTCTTCTTTTGGGACATTTAATCATACACGAATTTTATGTTATCAGCTGGCAACTATTGTTTTTTCCAGCCCCATGGTTACATCTACATTTTCTCATATTTCCTAATCAACAACCATCTCATTAACAAATTTGTCACTGAGGACAAAATGCACCGTGTAATCCATTGCCCTTTCTCTTGTAAATACTCCGCCTTTGTATTTGCATTCTTATACTGCATCAAGTTGTTAATTGTTTAGTAAGACAGTGTTTTGATTTGATATTACAGACCAGTGTTGACAGACCTGGCACGGATCCTTACACTTCTAAATCGACCAGAGCATTTGATAGAGTCACCACCAGCTGATTGGGAAAAGCTGCTGGCCTGGGGAGAGCGTGTGCTGCGAAGGTATAAGAAGCAGAATCCTCATCAGGTTTGTAGGATGTGTGCAACAGGTATCACAATTATTCCTACACTATCTTCCCATCAGCTGAGCAATTTAACCCTTTCCATTTGTAATGTCAGATTTTTCTGCAGCCAGGATGTTTAGGGTATTTAAATCTTTGAAGCCAAAGTTTATCATCATAATTTCTCATCCCATTCGCCATTTCCCTTATCCACGTTGTACCTTCTGAAATGTGTCTTTGTAGAAAGAAATTAGCTGTGTTGAGTTATTTTAGCATTTTGTAAGTTCAATGCTTCTTTCAATAGAGAGCTGGCAAATGCGAAAGCATGAAACTGTGCCTTATATAATGCAGATGTAAAAGGTTTTGAAAATAATGACAAACTGAAACAATAATTTCATCACACAGAATGCAGTAACTCACCAAATTTACCCATATTTCACTGCTAACAAGCAAGCTGTAATGCACCAACCATTTTCCTTGTTTTAGTACAGTTACCCCAAACCTTGATGGATGCTGATTCTTCAGTCAGTGTCAATAAATATGTTGCTTCATTTGTCTGTCTGTTGCTCTCTTACTGTTTGGCAATTCAAGATGAAAAAGTTGAGTATATATAAGCGGTATTTTTATTACTTTTCTGTACATGTTGCATTTAAGTAGCTTCGGCATGGCACTAAGTTTATTAACATTTGTTGTGTTGCAGGTTGCTCAGGCACAGCTGGTCAGTTTTCTTCAAGTTCCAATTCAGACAAATCAGTCATCTACACCATCCCTTTATGTGAGTCCAGAACTGAATCACCGGACACTCACGACGTTTCAACCCGTTGCAACAAATCCCTCAGAAACGGATAAACACGTTAATTGTCAGAATAACCAAAATCACCACACTGGAGTTCCAGCAAACCAGAGCCTGCAAGAGCTGGCTATATCAACATTTGACAATAATTATAACAATGCCCATTTAGCTGGCAATGACGCTGTTCTGAGGAGAGATGCCACAGTGTTACAACCATCTTTCATCAGTGGGGACTTCAACCCATGTTGGGAATTCAGCCCATCCAATTATACAATACTTGCTGAGTGGTCTGCAAGCAGGGATTATCTCGATGAAGATGACTTCTTCACCCTTGGCTTCCGCCCACAAGATGAGATCACCACTGAACTCTGACAATGGATTGTAAATTTACAGAAAAGTATTTATGTAACATATGCTTACAAATCTTGGCTATTGGTATGAACTATATGATGTATAGTGTACTATTACTCGGTCATCCCTCATTATATGTGAGGATGTGGTCATGACTGAAGATTTGCACTCTTGTTTCTTGTGCCTGCAGTTAAATACCTCAGGGACATGACTGCGTAGTGCCTTTATTTTCCAGTTTCATTACCATGCAGTTAACTTGCCTCGAAGAAAGCAGCAGTAACTAATGAGTGACACGGAAGACCCTCAGCCAGTAGTCAGGTGTCAAGTAGGTTTTCATAATTGTCTCTGATCTGGCTATTTTTATGTCTTGTGTGCTTGGTTTGAACTCTGTCGTGCTAATTCTGAAGGTATTATGTAACTTTTCTGCAAGCAGGATTTGTGTAAAGAAAACATACTCAAGTATAAAAACTTGAAAAGACTCGTTTATTAGTAGTTATGTATATACCAGTAATTTTAATTTTTTTAAGTCTTCTGGTTTTTGTTCAGGAAGTCAGTCTTTCTGTATTTAAATGTTGACTGAGACGTGAGATTCAGATATATTTGTGGCTTGTTTAGTTTATTCTGTCAGATTTCGTGCAGAAAGCCAGATGATTTTTTCATGAGACCTATATTCAACCATTCTCTCATATGATGAACCTTCACCGTTTGTTCCTGTGCTTCTAAATAATTTGAAACTGAATTAGTTACTTAAATTTAAATACTATAATGGCAATGACATTTAATCATTCTTCTTGTATTTTAAAGAAAGAAGTATTGTTAATTGGTTCTCTTTAATTTTTGAAAATACAGTATGTTTTTGTACTTATTTTGAATGTGTGAACTGGTTACTTTGACAGTTCTCTTTGGATTGACATTGTGTAAATTTATGCTTTTCACATAGAATTCATTTAAGTGAAAAGGATAAAAGCATTTACCTTAACAGAAGGTTCACAGATGGAAGGAGATTGTCAAGTACTTTGTTCACTGAGAATCTGAAAGTGATAAATTAGCACTGTAGATCTGTACATTGTTGAGTGAGAACAATTTTTAAAACATAAATCTTATAAGTTGCACGGTTGACCATTTCTGTTGTGTGAACGTATTGAAAAAGTTGTTAACTAAGAAATTGAGCTTATTTTGTTGCATTTCCAATGATTGTATTCAGTAACTGGAAATAAGTTTGTAGTTGTATCATCTTTGTCATGTGAGATGTGAGGCATCATTTTACCAGGAGAGTGCTTTATATCTGCATTTTCTTTCACCTCTTCCCTTTTATGTGTATGCAGTAGTAGTTGACTGCACTAGAAATAGGCTGTAGTTCACAAAGTGCTTAAACCAAAAAAAATTCTCTGACAATACATTGCTCAAGCATATAGAGAGTACTAGTCATTCTTCCAGGTGATTATATTTTAATAGTCCTAATTATTACATAATTGAAAATATTTTGTGAATAGTTTCATACATATTGCAGCATAATGTGTATAGTAATTTTAATACTTGCAGATATATTTTATTATATGTGTATATAAGATGTATACATAAAACTGTTGTGTAATGTTCTACACAAGGTAGAATGAATGAAGTACAAACTTTATGTATGTCTGTGCAGGACAGGTTATGAAATTTGTGAATTATTTAATGTTGAGAAAAATACAGAATGCATAATATTATTAGAATGGGTATTTATACTAAAACTAAATCGTGACTGAGGTGACGCCTGTTTTGTATAAGTTGCAGGTAAAACAAAACCCATGTTTCTTCAGTTTAACAACATGTGTTGCAGATTAGAAAAACATGTTTAACAAAAGTCCTTGCCAAACCTTCATTAATATTCCTGTCACATTCTTTTCTGTTCATGTTTCACTTTTGTTTTATTATTGTCTTTATCTTTAATTGTGAATTTTTGAATTAATTGTTTTACAGAAGTATAGCAAAGAGAGAAACAAGAGAGGCCTGACAAAGAATTGCCCATAAACATTTATTTCTAACCCAGGTATATGCCAAACCTACATTTGTTACTTGCTAAGAAATTATAACAAAATGTAAATTAAGTTCTGTTCTAGTCATTAGGTCTGATGGAAGGTGCTATGCTCTAGCAGATGGAATTGAAACTTATAGCCTTTTCACTTACTAAGATTTAAAATTATAGCTTGAAAATTCACCATATTGTTCGGCCAATAAGACGGGGATATCTTGTTAACTTTACTGGTTGTGTATGTACTTTGAATTTCGTGCATTGTAAGAATTTGGAATGTAGTTGTAAACAGCACGGTGTTCAGATTCTCTTCGGTTTCATTGCACGACAATGC